GTTCGAGCTCGCGCTGGATCATCTCCTCCTTACGCTCGCTGGGCACTGTTTAGAGAATTGGGAAGCGAGTGGGAAAGTGAGCGCTCGTGGTTCTACGACGGCAGACACTGCGAGGCCCCCACTCACCCTTGGTCATCAGCCAGCGGTGGTACTGCCACGGGCTCTCGCCATCGTGCATCACCAGCGACTGCTCAAGCAATCGGAACTCTACAGAGCACATTACGTACATAACGTAAATATTAGTAGTGTTTTGACCACCTCAACGTCGTGGGTGAAAGCATATAACATGAGGGAGGCGCCGCGTACCTTCATCGACCGACTGCCAGTACTCCTCGTCCTTGTGGTTGGCGAGCATGTCGTCCCACAGCTGGCCCAGCACCTTGCTGCGCAAATGCCAGGCGCTGTAGTTCGAGAAACTGTTCTTCCCTCCTGCGGGAGGCCGCGAACAGAATAACATGGCAACGGTGAGGCCAAGGATAGAGATGCGTGCGCGCGCGCGTGCGTGTTGTGTGTACCGGCGCTAGCGAAGAAAAACTGGCCGCCTTCGCCAATCTTTTGCTCGGTGAACGCGAGTTCCTGCTGCAGCGTGACGCCGGCCTTTTCCGTGATGAAGCTGCGGTAGTTCCAGCAGTGGACTGCAGTGTGTTCACAATCGCAACAAAAAGCAGAGTGTAAGCGTCGGAACCCCCCTCTCGCGAACACACACACACCACACACACACACACACAACACACACGACAGGGAACGCACAATTTCGGCCATCAAGCCTGAGGAAGAGCTCGCACAGACCCAGCTCCTTCTTCCAGAAGTATTGCATGTCCTACATCACCGTACACGGTTAGCCACCAGGGAGCAAGCGAAACGTGTAGCCTTGAATACGCACCTTGGTGGTCTGGGTGGCGGGCTTGTCGCCCTCAGCGGCGGGCGGCGTGGATGCGGGCACGAACGACTGGAGCTGCTGAATGCACCACACCCGATGGTTCCACGGCCAATAGGACCTGCGCGTTTCGTGTGTGTGTGTGTGTGTGTGTCTAACGTTAGTGATAATCACTAGTGTGCCAGCACAAGACGGGCGCGCAGGCAAAAACGTGCTTGGGATTCCTCTTGATGGCCGGGCTGGTGATGGCGTCGAGCTCGCGCTCGAATAGTGTGCACAGGCGCTTGACCTTGGCCTCTTCGATTTGCCTCAGCTTTTCGTCCAGAAGCGCCTTTTTCTCCTCCTCAGTCAACTCCTTCTTTTCTTCTTCTCCTTCTCCCTCCGCCTTTGGAGTTTGCTCCTCCACCGTCTCTGGCTGCTGTCCCTCTTCACTTTGTTCTTTGCTCTTCGCTTCGTTTTCGTTCTGTGCCTGCTCTCCACTTTCGGTCTTCGTTTCCTCCGTGGTGGCTTGCTCCTCCTTCGTCCCTTCGTCCTTCTTCTCTTCGACAAGTTCGCTGGCAGGCTCTTCTTCATGTGGCGGTTGCTGCTCGTGCTGCTGCTGCTGGTTGTGGTGTTGCTCGGCGGCTTCGATGGCCAGGCGGGCCTGCTCCTCGTTGGCCTCCCTGATCTTGCTGAGGAGGATGAGCCTGCGGAAGTTCCAGATGGTGTAGCAGTCCGAGTTGAAGTCCAGCAGCCGCTCCGTCAGCCGCAGTCCCTCGTCCGTGAACTCGCTATCCTTTTTCTGTGTTTGTGCATCAAGTGCGTGCGTTGTGTGCGTTGTGTGTGCGTGTGTGTGTCGATAGTGAGCGTGTGCGGCGGAGATGAGTGCGTGTGCGGTCGGGGCTGAGAGCACGTACCATTTGGGTGAGGCGAGCAAACTTCTCCTTCCACTCAAGACCGAGAGCCTTGCGCTTGGCCAGGTTTTCCTCGGTGCGCGAAGCCAAGTACTCCTCCTTCGTCATACCGTGCTGCAACGTCAACAAGATTAGAGTTAAAATTGCAACAACATAATTAATGTAGGTGGAGATGACAGCGGGTGCAGAAGCTTTGTGCAAGCATAAAGAGGTACGTGGCAGAGCTACGTACCATCGACATCGTGAGCAGAACAATGATGGACCGATTCAGTGGAATGTCTCGTTGCTGCAGGATTGCAGGATAGAAATGATTGAGGAGGTGGTGATCTATGCAGGCAAAAGAGGCTCCCAGCCAGACTAATCGTATTCAAGGAATCAAACTCAAGACGAAGTACCTTCTGGTGCTATTTTGCAGGATTAAAATATGTCAACTTAAAAAAACAATTTCTTTGCTGCATTTTCTGGAGGTGTTTTTTGTGCAACAGCGGCACCTGGGAACGCACCAAGTGTAACCTCATCACTTGCGAAGGCGCGTTCGCAATCGTCCAATCTTCTCGTACGTTCACCCATAGAAGTCCTATTGCGACGTGATCTCCTTCCTCAATCTTGATCTCGACTCCCGCTGCCTCAATGGAGATTGCCCCCCCCCAACAATAATTACGCTCTCGTATTTACTCCTTCGAGGCGACGACACAACAGACCACAGCATGTACGGCGAGCCACCAAGCGAGGAACGCATCACAGAGATGCAAGAGAATTGGCTGATTCCCGCCGGCAAGCTGACCGTACAGAGCGAGCTTGGTAGGGGCGCCTTTGGTGTCGTACGTCATATCGCCCTTTCTCTTCACAATCCTTCATCTTTTCCCTCTTTCATCTTTCGAGTAGCGACCCAGGTTTCAGGCTTTCTTTTTATGGGTTGTGCCTGACTGCCTTTCCTGCGTGTTGGTGGCTGTGGTTGCCCCCAGGTGTACAAGGGCAAATACCTGACGACCACCGTGGCCGTCAAGAAGCTGCACCAACACAATGACGACATCGCCAAGGACTTCCTGCACGAGGTACCTATCAGAGAGACTTGCGAGCGTCCCCCTTTATTGGGCCCAGCTTTTCCTCGACTCTGTTTAAACAGTGCGGTGAAGGCAGTGACTGACCGCACATCACACCATACTCTTTGCCTCTCGCGCTGTGCAGGTGCAAATCATGAAGAACTTGAGGCATCCCAACATCGTGCTGTGGATGGGCGTGCAGCACGACACTGAGAAGGGCGAACTCTCCATCGTCACCGAATTCGTTCCGAATGGTAACCGAAACTGTTACGCTTATGTGTCGGTGTGTGTTGTGTGTGTGTCTTATGTTGCGTGCGTGCGCGGTGGAGCGTGTGCGGTAGTTTCAGGCTTGGCACGATCTCTGACATTGCGTTCACCGTGACCAGGTACCCTGTCGACGTTCCTGAAGAACAAGAAGAGCTCGTGGTCGACGCGCGTGAACATGGCGCTCGAGATCGCCAACGCCCTGGGCTATCTCCACGACCGACGTATTCTGCATCGCGACCTCAAGAGCGAGAACGTCCTCGTACCTGTCCCCCTTCTCATCACCGTCGTCGTTGTCGTTTTCCTTCGCTCAGTTCCTCGAGCTCACACACATCCGCCGGCACAGCTGGGCGCGAGTTTGGAATGTAAGGTGGCAGATTTCGGCCTGGCCGTCCTGCACAAGGGAGGCGCCAGGCTTTCGGCCGTCGGCGACCCGTGGTGGCGGTACTTCAACTTCGCTTCGCGCGCGACTGACTTCCGCCTTTCCTTCTCCGGCTTGCCCATTGACCTCCTTTTTCCTGCTTCTAGAGCGCCCGAGGTGGATAACTACGAGTACGACGAGAGGGCTGATATTTTCAGGTGCGGAACCAACAATTACGATTGCGATTACGATTATCTTTGACTTATTAAGTTGACTATTTATCTGCATTTTATGCTTGATCGTCCAAACAGCTACGGCATAGTGCTGGGAGAGATCATCACCCGATTCGACGGAGAGCACATTCGATTGGGCATGGTCTATCAAAAGTCCAAGAAGCTCGAATTCGGCGTCGACTCGTCCAAGCTCTCCGAGATGGTCACCGAAACAGGTACGCACTCAACTCGGGCCGCACGACACGACACGACCAACGACACGACACGCACCCGCTCGCATCACTCGTGCAATCAACGTGGTCTAATGTACTACAACAGCTCCCGATTGTCCGCCGGCGTTGATGGATCTCGCCATCGCCTGCTGTCGAGAGGACCCGTCTGCTCGCCCGTCGCTCGCCCAGGTCGTGGAGCGCCTGGACAAGCTCAACAAGGAACTGAAGCGATTAACCAAGGAGCTCGACAGCCAGACCATCAGCAAAGAGGGGCGCGACCTCTTCCTCTCGCTATGCACAGGCGTAAGCACACACTCCCCACCTCCTGTTCGTGCCGGCGCTGCGACCGGCGGTCAGTTTAAGGTGGCTGACGTTGGTGTTGACAACTGGTCCCTGGTGACTGCGCAGTCCTTCACGGAAGTGGACAAGTGTACGGTGAAGACGCAAGACATTCTTGACGCGGTGGCGAAGCAGATCAAGGACGAGACGGAGCGAGTGCTCAACGACGACGAGCTCGCCAACATCGCCAGCATGATTCGTACGCACGCTCGCTCCGCGCCGAGTTGAGGCCTTTTACCATAGTAGTCTATCTAAAACTCACGTGAATGCGCAGCCAACGGCGGCGGAGAATGTGTGACACTATCGCAGTTTACCAGCTTCTGGGCGTGGTACTCGGCCATCTACAAGCTCATCGCAGACCCTCGGGTGCGCTTGCTCTTGTTGCTGGCCCTTGTTTGGTGTTGTTGTGGAAGCCGAAGATGTCGTAGATGCCGATAGGAGAGCTGTTGGCTGATTGCTCTTGTCGCGTGTGTTGGGTTTGTGTGTGTGCAGTTGCATGGCCTGTGGCGGGTCGGCTTCATTCACGGCTTCGCGTCGCGACAGCAGGTGGAGGAGCTGCTGGAGACTCTAAACGAGCCGCATACGGTCATCTTCCGTTTCAGCTCCACCCAGGTCGACTCGCTCGTCATCTCCTACCTCGCGCGCCAGGACGAAAAGACCAGGCACGACCTCATCAAAGTGTCCGAGGGTACTCTAACCACGCACCTTTGCTCGATACGTGACGCACTTGGTCGCCTCACACATGCATTGCTATACATACGTAGGAGGATTCTCGACCAAGAACGAACACATCAGGTCGAGCTTGAAGAAGGTTCTCCGAGACACGGAGGAGGAGTACAAGGTACGCCTAGCCTTCTGGCTTCTTCTTTCCGAAGAAAAGAGCTGAAGGATGACACGGCTAATGCTGCGAATGGCTACGGCAGGACTTGGAGTTCATCTATCCGCACATTCCCCTTCGCCAAGGCGGTGTTCTACACGCAGCTCAATGCCGAACCGACCGATGACATGAGCGAGATCGGCTACAACGTGCGAACGTGAGCCGCAAATTAGGCCGTGATAAAATGATCAGGCTACAGCTGTCCCACTCCTGTTCTTCTGTACTTGTCTATTATAAGACCACTCGATACAAGTTGTTGTGGTGCTTCTCCTTCACCAATCTGGCCGATGGTGGGGTTCGATCGCCCGCTTGTTGATCGAGGCCAAAACCCCGCAGGAAATGGGAGGAGAAGTCTCAAGCTCGTGCCAACGTGTCCAGAGCGACCCCTTGATTGGTCTGGCTTATATGGGTTGGAGGCTTTATCTGGGATTGTGCTCGACCATGGACCAATCAACGTTTCAGGAACGTTCTGTTTCGCTTCTCTTCCGGTCCTTCGTCACTCGCCCGTCCGGCTTGGGAGGCTTGGGACATACTCCTACATTACCTCCTTCACACCCACACGGCGCGTGCCCTCTCAGTCGCCACTCCGTCGTGCACCGCACACTCACCTCCACCACTCGCCCGCAGCCCGCACCCATTTTAAGATCCTCACCGCCGCAGAAGTCGCTACAAGGGGAAGACTTCTCGTCGGGCAGAAGCTATTGCGCTTGAAGGGCTTCTGTACCGTTGCAAAAGAAGAAAGAGACCTCAGACGACGCAAGACGAGGCTATTTGAGCCTCCTACTTCGTAACAACTGGTCGGAGCCGCGGGACCCCGACAAACAACAAGATGGCAGGACCGTCGAGTATCTACGAGGGGGCCAACCCGCTCTTGACTTCGCCGCTGGACCTATTCATTATCCAGCTCATCATCGTGGTCATCGTGGCCAAGGTGCTTAGCTACTTCTTCAAGTTCATCAAACGTACGTGACGCTTTCTTCATTGTCACCAAAAACAATATATTAAAACTCCAACATTGGTTTTATGATGGCGAAGATGTTCTAATATGAGTATTTTAATATGTGACGTCACTACAGAACCGAGCGTGATCGCCGAGGTCATTACGGGCATCTTGCTGGGTCCCTCCGTGATGGGCTTCGTGCCCGGCTTCACCGTCAACATCTTTCCGACCACTTCCATCACCATCTTCAATGGTGTGAGCCCAAGTCAGTCTATTGCTTTTAGAAAGAAAAAAGATGTCAACAATGTCAAACTGACCGTTGGCTTCATACTGTCATAGTGATCGCCAACGTGGGCCTCATCTTGTTCATGTTCCTGGTCGGGCTCGAGGTGGACCCGGCCCTCATGCGCCGTAACCTCAAGGGCTCGGCCGTCATCAGTATCACCGCCATGGTGTTGCCCTTCGTCCTCGGCATCGGCGCGTCAGCCTACATCTGGAACGAGATGCCCATGGTATACCCCCCCCCTCTCTCCTCCTATTGTCATCGAAGCTCATCGTGCTCATCACCGTCTCCTACTACTACTGCAGACCAAGACGGCCACGTTCGCATCGTTCCTGCTGTTCGTGGGCGTGGCGGTGTCTATCACGGCCTTCCCGGTGCTGGCCCGCATTCTCACCGATCAGGGCCTCACCCAGTCCAAGGTGGGCATCATCGCCCTCTCGTCGGCCGCCGTGGATGACGTCACGTACCGTCCCCCCCCCCGACGTGTCACTCTCCGATTGGCCAACCAGTTAACCCGGAAATGAGCGCACAGGGCGTGGATCATGTTGGCCGTGGTGGTGTCGATTGCTCGGTCATCCGGCTCGCTCACCGCAGTGTACACGCTGCTGGTCTTCGCCGGCTACGTGGTCCTCATGGTGGTGGTCCTGCGGCCCATCCTCAGCTGGCTCTCCAAGTACGTCGGCAGGCCACCACCTTGCAATTGGTCCAGTGGGTCGCCTGGCGCTATTATGTCGACACTTTGTATGATTGCAAACCCACACACAGGAGAGTACATGCGCGCGAGTCGATGAAGCACGAATTCGTGATCCTCATCCTGGTCCTCCTCTTCATATCCGCCTGGACCACCGACGTGCGTGCGCTCGTCTTCGCTTTGAAATCAAGTTTGACTGCGCCAGAATAGGCGAGGCCCTGATGAAGTCAGTCTTCGTTCTCTCCCACGAACAGGTGATCGGCGTGCATTCCATGTTCGGCGGCTTCTTCCTGGGCGTCATCACCCCGCGCGGCAACGGCTTCGCCATGCGCATGACCGAACGAATTGAGGTGCGCGCGTCGCCCGAATGCCCGGAGCAGCGAGCCCTCAGCTTTCTCTGACAGGCCCGAATTCGATCTTTACGACATTAATCAGGACTTGATCATGATCATCCTGGTGCCGCTTTACTTCACGTACTCGGGCCTCAGGACCGACCTGTCGACCCTCAACACGTGGCAGGCCGGCGTGACGGTGGTGCTGATCATCGCCGTCTCCATGTTGGGCAAGATTGGCGGCGCCACCATCGCCTCCCGTCTCCTTCGCAACAGCTGGAGGTACTCCCCACCAACCTTCATATATTCATATCTTGTGATGTTTCGTTGTATATGTAAATGTTTGGTTATACATATATATATGCTTGTTTGTTTGTTTGTTGGTTTGTTGTTCAGAATTATTAATGTTTGATGCTTCTTTTTCCACGACCACAGGGAATCGTTGACGATTGGCTTCTTGCTCAACACGAAGGGTCTGGTGGAGCTGGTCGTGCTCAACGTGGGCCTCGACATCGGCGTCCTCACCAAGGAGATCTTCGCCGCCTTCGTCGTCATGGCTATCTGGTGCCTGCCCCCTTCCGCCCTCGAGTTGTTTTTTTTCAACTCCCGGCCCCAATCGCTGACCAACCTCTGCCGGCACAGGAACACCATCCTCACCACGCCCATCGTGTGGCTGTTGTGGACGCGAACAGAGAAGAAGCGCAACCCCATGATGCGCAAGAGGTTCGTCATTGCGTGAGTCTCGAGCGAGGCGAGCTGAATCGCGGGATTCACAACTCACTCGTTTGTTGCTGTTATTTCGCATAGTTCGGACTATTCGGTGCTGGTGTGCATCCCGGAGGCGAGGATCGGTGTGTCGATGGTGACGATCGCCGGCGCCCTGGCCAAGGCCCACGCCAAGGGCATCGACTCCAAGCGCAAGCCCCGCATCGAGGCCGTCCACCTTACCGAGATCTCCGAGCGACCCTCCACCTACTTCTTCGCTGTACGCCACTTTCCTGTGTTGCGTGTCGCCTGGGTCGCCAGGGTCGCGTGTGTCGTGCTGACTTGTTTCGATTGATGCTGTACAGTTGCGGTTGGACAAGTCCGATGCGGTGGAGTTCGCACGACAGCGGGCCTCGGTGCTCGATGTCACCTTCAAGGTGACCGCTCGCGCCTCGGCCGATATCGCTGACGACCTCACCAAGATCGCCAACTCTCGCGTGCAAGACCTGGTCATCCTGGGCTGGAACCGACAGAAATCGGACCGAATCAACGAGGGCGGCCGGCGGGTCAACCACCTCATGCAGCACATCCGCGCCCCCGTCGGTACGCTCGCCCTTCGTTTTACTTCTTCTTCGTCGTTCTTCGTTCTTTTTCGCTTGTCGTGTTCGCTCTTGTTTTTGTGAAGAATGCTAACAATGCAGGCGCTACATTGCAACAGGTATTTTTGTCGATAAGGGTAGATTGAGGGACCGCACGAACGTGGAGCGGGTGCTGTTCGTCTATTCGTTCCACTCGTTCGAGCGGGAGGCGGTCAAGGTGGCGCTCGAGATGGCCCGCGACCCCGACGTGCACCTCACCATCGTCGTGCCCCGCAAGGAGTGGCTCATGCGCGATCGCCACCATCAGTCGGCCCAGCATGACATGAGCTCCTCGACCGATGCCCTCACCCCGCGCGACACCAACCACGCCTCGTCGTCCACCTCCGCCGCTACACCGGCCGCCGCGGCCAAGAAGAAGGGCGCGGCGTGGCATCAGTACTTCGACATCCTGTTCCTGTTCGGGCTGCTGGCGCGGCTGGTGCGCCGCTGCATCCACGGCCCGCGGAAGCCGACGAGTCAGCGCAGGCGCCCGGGCGCGTCGTCGCCGACGACTTCTGCGAGGAAGGAGAACGAGGTGGAGATGGAGGAGAGGGCCGCAGCCGCCGCCGTTGCCGCCGCCAGGGAGCGCAGGACCACAGGCGAGCGCCACGACAGCGATGACAGCAGCAGCAGCGAAGGAGAAGACCTCGCCGAGTCACCGCGCGTCAGCCTCTCGGTAACACACCACCGCACGCAGCAGGCAACACGACGCACGCACCTCATCGCACCGCACACACACTAATCTTACACGTTGGGTAGGATCGCCCGGATTCGATCGCGCTTGAAGCGGCGGGAGCGGCGTCTGGCAAGTACGCCCTGGGTTCGCTGCTGCCGTCGGCCTTCTCGGCGGAGCAGAAGCGGGCCGAGGAGCAGCTCATGGAGACCTTCGACGGCGTGCAGACCCTCGTGCGCGCCCGACCCAACATGTCGCTCATTGTGAGCGAGAGCGACGACGTGCTCGCCGAGGCGCTCGACCAGGAGGCCAAGCACGTGTACCAGATGATCGTGATCGGCAACGAGCGCAAGTGGTCGCGCACGCACCAGCACGTGCACCACCTCAACCTCCACCGCCACCACCTCCCCCACATCAGCTTCGGGCGCCACGACGACATCGACGACGATGCAGAGAACGACGACGCGGCCGACGGCGACGACGGCTCGGTCCAGTTCAGCGATCTCGTGGGTTCGTCGACGACGTCGCTGCTCGTGGTCCATCCGCCGCTCGAGTCGCCGGCCTACATAGATACGCGCCTCTCGGTGGGCGGATGCTTCGAATGCCTGACCAGACGCCGACACCACTCCGACGACGACGATGATGAAGGAGAAGAGGACGAAGACGTCGAGGCCAAGCACGACAAGGGCGAGGACAGCAGCAGCAGCAGCAGCGACGAGGTCTGAACGGCAGACAGCAAGAATGCAGGAGGACGAGAGAAGAGGGAGAAGAGGAGAATAAGGGCTGGCCGGGGCTGAGGGGTGGGCAGGCAGCACGAAAATTTGGCTGGCCACCATGCTCCTTGCATGAGGGTGCACACCACACAACAGTTTTGATTTTAACTTGCATTACAACTAAAAAAGGTAATATGTCCTTTACGTGAATGTAACGCCAAGATCAAAGGAGTTGCAGCTTCCTCCACCACGCGCGACTGATGCGTGATCAACTGGTCTGCAAAAGGTCCTCTTCTTCTATAGGCGCCATTCTCACAGAAAACGCAACTGAGGAAGAGAAAGAACGAGAGAGGAGAAACGCAAGGCAAGGCGGCGGCAGGTCATGGGAGTCTATGAGGGGGATAACCCCCTCGAGAAGTCGCCCTTGGCTCTGTTCATCATTCAAATGCTCATAGTGGTCATCGTGTCCAAGGCCCTCAGCTACTTCTTCAAATTTATCAAACGTACTTCCCCCCTTCAGCTCATGTGCAGTACACTTACAGCCATACACTACAGAGCCTAGCGTGATTGCCGAGGTGCTCACGGGCATCCTGCTGGGGCCTTCTGTGATGGGCTTTGTGCCCGGCTTCACCGAGACCATCTTCCCTACCTCCTCCATTCCCACCTTCAAAGGTGTGTATTTTTTATTGAATTTTATTTTATTTTACTTCGTCCCTCTTGCTGTTTGCTGAGTTCGCACCCTCACTTCATACGCTTGTAATGTGCATTAGTCATTGCCTATTTGGGCCTTATTCTGTTCATGTTCTTGATCGGGCTGGAGCTGGACCTTAGCATCATGCAGAGCAATATCAAGGGGTCCACCCTCATCTGCATCACCGCCATGGTGGTGCCCTTCGGCCTGGGCGTCGGCGCCGCCGGCTACCTCTACCACGAGCTACCCATGGTAACCTGCTCCTCTTCACCCAGCAGCTTCAGGTTGGGTGCTGCTGACTGTGATCGCCGGCAGGCCAAGTCGGCGACATTCGTCACATTCATGCTGTTCGTGGGCGTGGCGGTGTCGATCACGGCCTTCCCGGTGCTGGCCCGCATCCTTACCAACCAGGACCTAACCCGCTCGAAGGTGGGCGTCGTCGCCCTTTCGTCTGCAGCCATTGATGACGTGGCGTACGAAACACCACCTCCTTTCTTTCTTGTCATCTGTTCCTGTGGAGCTCATCATGAGACCTGCGGTGCAGCGCCTGGCTGCTGCTTGCCGTTGTGGTGTCCATCGCGGGTTCTTCGGGGCTGCTCATCGCCCTGTACACCTTGCTCGTGTTTGTCGGCTACGTGCTCGTCATGTTGATCATCGTGCGCCCCATCCTCACCTGGCTGTCCAAGTACGTGCCCGTTTCGCACCTGGCTGTAAGATAATGTTAATAATGGGGGCTGGCTGGCGCTTGGGGACAGGACTGTCAATTCGCACAACACGATGAAGCACGAGTTCGTGATCCTCATTCTTGCTCTACTCTTCATCTCGGCTTGGGTTACCGACGTACGTTGGTTCAGTGTCGGTGGCTACAACTGGAAACATTGCAACATTTACACCAAGCTCGCCATTTCCAGATGATAGGGGTGCACTCCATGTTCGGCGGATTCCTATTGGGCGTCATCACTCCACGCAACCACCTAGTGGCCCTGCGAATCACCGAAAGAGTTGAGGTTCGTGCTCAACCACCCGATCATGTAATTTTCCAATGACTTTCAACCTCAATCAACCTTGGTGCAGGAGTTGATAATGATCATCTTGCTGCCGCTCTACTTCACGTATCTGGGCCTGAAGACCGACCTGAGCACCATCAACTCACACCAGGCTGGCGTGTCGGTCGTGCTTATCATTCTGGCCTCCATGATAGGAAAGATCGGGGGCGCCGCAGCAGCCGCACGCCTGCTGCGTAACTCGTGGAGGTTCCTGGACAGCGGCATTTTTTTAAGGCTAGAGCTTGGTGGTGGTCTGACTTTGAGTTGTGCGTGGCACCAGGGAATCGTTGACGATTGGCTTCTTGCTCAACACGAAGGGCCTGGTGGAGCTGGTCGTGCTCAACGTGGGCCTCGACATCGGCGTCCTCACCAACCAGGTGTTCGCCATCTTCATGATCATGGCTCTCTGGTACCTCTCACCCCTTCTCGGCGAATACACCAATGTTGCTCACGCAACACGCAGGAACACATTCCTCACAACACCGGCCGTGTGGCTGCTCTGGACACGACGAGAGAAACAACACAACCCCAAGCGGGTCAAACGGTTTGCCGCTACCACTTGTGCCAGCCAATCACAAATCATGTTTTATTCTCACCCCTGGGGGTGCACCTATAGCTCTGGTTACTCGGTGCTGGTGTGCATCCAGGAGGCGAGGACAGGTGTGTCGATGGTGACCATAGCCGGCGCCCTGGCCAAGGCCCACGCCAAGGGCACTAACTCCAGACGCAAGCCCCAGGTCAAGGCCATCCACCTCAAGGAGATCTCTGAGCGACCCTCCACATATTTCTTCGCTGTACGCGACTCCTTCTCAAAAACTACACTTGCTGTACCGACCTCTCACACTTGTGTAATCAAACATATACAGCTGCGGTTGGACAAGTCTGACGTTGTCGAGTTCGCCCGGCAGCGAGCACTGATGCTGGGCGTCAATTTCAAGGTCACTGCCCGCACCTCTGCCGACCTGGCCACAGACCTTATCAAGGCCGCCAACTCGCGCGTACTACACATTCTTCATCACTTCCCCCCTCCTTCGCAGTGTACGACTAATCCTACCCTTGCCCCCTCGCAGGTGCGCGATCTGGTAGTGATAGGGTGGAACCGGCACCAACAATTTGATCGTATCAACGAGGGAGGCCGCCGTGCTCATCAACTCATGCAACATATTCAAGCGCCCATTGGTACGCCAACTGCACCTTTCTGTAATTGGCGGGGATGACGTGTTAATGTGCAACCGATTCTTAGGAATTCTGGTGGACAATGGAAGACTGCGGCACCGGACCAATGTAGAACGGGTTCTCTTCGTTTATTCGTTCCACGCCTTCGAAAAGGCGGCGGTTAAGGTGGCGCTTGAGCTGGCCCAAGACCCCAAGGTGCATCTTACCATCATCGTGCCCCGACAGGCGGCCCATCACGACCACCTGCAGCAGCGACACAATAGTCCGGACTTCACGACCATCGACGGCCTGCTTCAGATGCGCCAGCGGGCCGAGTCCGACACTGCTGCCTCTACCTCGGACGACGACAATCAGGCCCACCACAAGAACGACAAGAGTGACGGTGGCGCGAAGCCGACGAAGAAGAAGGGTCCGGCCTGGTACGAGTATTTTGACATTGTGTTCCTGATGCGGCTGCTGGTGCGAATCGTGCAAGCGGCCTGGCGGCGGCTCGTGGCTCCGGGGAGCGGCACCGCGGCAGGCCAGCGAAGGGCTGCCGCACACGCCAGCCGCAGCCCCATGACCGTCAGCCTGCCCCGCAGGCCTAGCAAGGATGACTTGGAAATGGCCGAACAGCACACACCGTACCACACGACAGTACGCCTCAGCTGTATAGTTTATCCCATTCACATTCATGCGTGTCTACAGTCTGGACAATATTTGTTAATTGCCTTTATTGATTTATTGCAAGCAGAGCCCAACGCAGGCTGATGAATCCGGTGACGGCCACGGCGTGGGCTTGGCTTCGGCTTTCTCGGCGGAGCAGAAGCGGGCCGAGGAGCAGCTCATGGAGACCTTCGACGGCGTGCAAGCCCTCGTGCACGCCAGATCCGCCAACATGTCGCTCATTGTGAGCGAGAGCGACGACGTGCTCGCCGAGGCGCTCGACCAGGAGGCCAAGCACGTGTACCAGATGATCGTGATCGGCAACGAGCGCAAGTGGTCGCGCACGCACCAGCACGTGCACCACCTCAACCTCCACCGCCACCACCTCCCCCACATCCACTTCGGCGGCCGGCGGGGGCGCGGACAGAGCGCCGACAGCAACAGCTCGGCCGAGGGAAACCTCGAGCATGGCCAGACAGACAACGCCGACTACGACGATGACGCTGATGGTGAGTTCGTCAACGGTGGTGATGAACACGACGGCTCGGTACACTTCAGCGATCTTGTGGGATCGTCAACGACGTCGCTGCTCGTCGTTCATCCGCCGCTGGAAGCACAGGAATGCGTGCGAGGTCCTGGTTGGCTGCCTAAGTGGCTGCGTGGTGGCTGCCAGGAGAGAACTGGGCGCCAAGGTGGCGAGGTGGATGACGACGAGGCGCGCGAGGCCGGCGACATGGCCGCGGACGATGAACACGACCTGGCCAGTAACAGTAAGGGCCTTGATGTGGAACAAGGCCGCAGCTGCGACACGAAGGAATAGCGGCGGAGGCGGCCCAACCACTGTAACAATCAGGGTAGATGTAAATAGCTCATGCCAGAAGAAGGCAAGAAACTGCAAACCAGTGCGTGGAGGTGGTGCAAGCAACCTCCGTAGATGGTGAAGAGCAAAAAGGATGCGGCACGGTGGATTCCCGGGTGGTCGCCCACCCCAGTACTAACACCGCCTGGCGCAGCTTAACTTCGCTGTTCGGATGGGAAGCGGTGCTTTCTGCGCAGTATGGCCGTATCCATCAACCATCAAGCTCTCTGCCCGTCGCTTCCCGGTTGTGCGACCTTAGACATGCCGTCAGGCAGGCAGTACCACCGCAGAGCTCAATGCGTCCTTCGTCACCTCTTGGCAAAACTACAACAAAGAACGTCTCCGTATCCGACGTTCGTACTTCTGCTCGCTGACGTTCGCCGCCGTGTGGTTCCAGAGAAAAACCATTTTCTTTGCTTGCTCTTTTTCCTTTGCCGTTGCTCTTTAGCGAAATTGAGGACAACGGCCAGCCCCGCGGTAGAAGCCAGGTCTATTTTTCCTAGCAGCCTTTTGGGTGCACAGTCTCGCAGTAAACAGAAAGCGCGGTAGCGCACGAGACCACCCCCAGCAGCATGGCCATTGGCCCACCGGAGCGCGCAGGAGAAAGTGAAGGAAGCGACAAGGGCAACGGCACCGTATAAAACACTCCCCTCGGCCCAGAGAATCTTCAGTTTACTACAACTCTACAACACCACCACCACCAACTACATCATCAACAATGGGAGACGAGGTTCAGGCTCTGGTCATCGACAACGGTTCGGGCATGTGCAAGGCTGGCTTTGCCGGTGATGACGCCCCCCGCGCTGTGTTCCCCTCGATCGTCGGTCGTCCCCGCCACACTGGCGTGATGGTCGGCATGGGCCAGAAGGACTCGTACGTCGGTGACGAGGCCCAGTCCAAGCGTGGTATCCTCACGCTCAAGTACCCCATCGAGCACGGCATCGTCACCAACTGGGACGACATGGAGAAGATCTGGCACCACACCTTCTACAACGAGCTCCGCGTCGCCCCCGAGGAGCACCCCGTGCTGCTCACTGAGGCCCCCCTCAACCCCAAGGCCAACCGCGAGAAGATGACCCAGATCATGTACGAGACTC